TTAAGGTTCCATCTCAAAAAAAAAAGAAAGAAAAGCTTCTTTAAGAAACAAGTGACCAGGCTCAGCGCCTGTGGCTCAAGTGGCTAAGGTGCCAGCCACATACACCTAAGGTGGCGGGTTCAAATCCAGCCCAGGCCCGCCAAACAACAACAATGGCTGTAACCAAAAAATAGCCGGGCATTGTGGCGGGCACCTGTGGTCCCAGCTACTTGGGAGGCTGAGGCAGGAGACTCGCTTGAGCCCAGGAGTTGGAGGTTGCTGTGAGCTGTGAAGCCATGGCACTCTACCCAGGGGGATAGCTTGAGGCTCTGTCTAGGAAAAAAAAAAGAAACAAGTGACCAAAAAACAGAGCCTGCCTTGTCACTATTTCTCTCTTTAAAAAGAAAGGGCAGGCATACCCATCTGTGTCGAGAAGTCCAGCAGCTGTAGGACTGGCCCAGCTGAGCAAGGCTCAGGAACCCCCATCACAATGGGAACATACAAAGGCAAGGGTATTCATTTTACAACAGTTAGCTATAGACTTTGGTTTTATTTTTCTTTTTTTTTCAAAAACAGGATCTCAGTCTGTCACCCAGTTCAATAAATTATTGAATTTCTGGGCTCAAGTGATCCTCCTAACTCAGCCTCCTAACTCCAGCCTAAAAAGCTGGACTACAGGCATGCACCACCACAACTAGCCAATCTATTTTTTGTAGAGTTAGACTACATTGCCTGGGCTGGTCTTGGACTGTGCTGGATCACTTTAAGTGATCCCACATCAGCCTCCAAAGTGCTGGGATTACAGGTGTGAGCCATTTTGTTTTATAAGGTTTTCTGTACCTGTAGTTTATTTTACACATAAGATTTAAAAAGAAAAAGACAATCATTATATAGACTTCCAACAAAGATCCAGAACTTATTATCAAGATAGAAAAACTTGTTAAAAGCTATGACATGCTAAGACAAGACTAGTAAAGGAGGAAACAGAAAGGCTTGAAAACAATCTATACAAAGCTTTCACGACAAAAGTTAAAATGATTCAACGTGAGGGCAGAAGAATGTTTCAAGACTCAAAGGCTGGCAGGGTGCAGTGGCTCATGCCTGTAATCCTAGTACTCTGCGAGGTTAGGCCAATGGATTACTTGAGCTCAGAAGTTCGAGATCAGCCTGAGCCAGAACAGGACCCTGTCTCTTAAAAAATAGCCAAGCACTGTGGCAGGTACTTATAGTCCCAGCTACTCAGGAGGCTGAGGCAAGATGATCACCTAAACTCAGAGTTTGAGGTTGCTATGAGCTATGACACCACAGTACTCTACCGAGAGTAACAAAATGAGCCTGTCTCCAAAAAAAAAAGACTCGGAGGCTAAAATAATCAAAATTCCTTAAGTGGAAAGATCAAATACTACCAAAATACAAATGGAAAACACTCGAAGTAATGCTAACCTACCAGAGAAGAACAAAGTCACTGGGCAACAAAAATAAAATATAAGAACAAAATTTCACAAGGGGATTATAACTATTATGATACAAAGAGGTTTTTTTGTTGTTGTTGTTGTTTTTAGTTTTACTTTGTTACCTGTGGTAGAGTGCCATGGCGTCACAGCTCACAGCAACCTCTAACTCTTGGGCTTAAGCGATTCTCTTGCCTCAGCCTCCTGGCAACTACAGTTGCCTGCCACAGCACCTGGCTTTTTGTTGCAGTTTGGTGGGGGCTGAACCCGCCATCCTCAGTACATGGGGCCAGCACCCTACTCACTGAGCCACAGGTGCCACCCAAGATAAGAGTTTTTTTAAAAAAGAGTTACCCTAAAATAATAATCTCCATTTTCTACCTAGGGAAAGGTTCAACAAAAGGTAGAAATAAAGCGGGAGTAAAGTTATATTAAGATAATAACATTAAGAAGAGTTATTAAAGTTATTATGGTCAAAGACCATAATAAACAAGAAGTACAAAGAAAGATTATGAACTAGAAGAAAACTAAATGGCAACTCAGTACTGATTTACTAATGTAGTAACATTTGAAGGAAAAAAGTAAATTAGATAACTTATAAAACTTTTAGACACAGGAAATTTATGTACTTTAGATTTAAACTATGAACTTCAGCAATTTAAAAGGAAAAAGCAACTTTAAAGCATTTCAAATTCTGTTTTCTGTCAATTCATATAAACAATGTTAAAACTATATGCACATACAATTCTGAAAAATATTCAAGATAATACTATCTAAAATTTAGCATCTGAAATAATTCAACTGCCCAGCAATTGAATATAATTCAAATAATTCTCCTTGCCCAGCAAGGAGAGAGAAGAGAAAACCCCTCTGGTGGCAGTGCCCGTAGCTCAGTCGATAGGGCACTGGCCACATACACCAAAGGCTGGTGGGTACAGGCCTGGGCCAACTAGAACAATGACAACCATACACACACACACACAAATAAAAAAACCAGGCATTGTAGCAGACGCCTGTAGTCCCAAGTACTTGGGAGGCTGAGGCAAGAGAATCGCTTAAGCCCAAGAGGTTGCTGTAAGGTGTGATACCAAGGGACGCTACCAAGAGCGACACGGTGAGACATGGTCTTTTAAAAAAAACACACCTCTGGTTCTGTATTTTCCCCACCAGGAAAAACAAAAAGGTACCTTCTAAGATAGGATAATGGGTTGAGCAATTCAGTGACCTTTCATTTTGTCACGTCTAGCCTGCCTACTGTATGTTAAGTTCTTTTGATAGTGTGGTCCTAGTCCGGTATGTTTTTTACTGATCTATTCATTTTTAGAACATATATCTTAAATAAATGGCAAGTGAATTATAACAATACCTATATGATAAAGAGGGCCAGGCACGGTGGCTCACACTTATAATCCCAGCACTCTGGGAGGCTAAGGTGGGCAGATCGCCTGAGCTTAAGAGTTCAAAACCAGCCTGAGGAAGAGTGAGACCCCATCTCTAAAAATAGCCAGGCGTTGTGGCAGGCACCTGTAGTCCCAGCAACTTTTGAGGCTGAGGCAAGAGGCTCTTTTGAACCCAAGAGTTTGAGGTTGCTGTGAGCTATGACAGCACAGCACTTTACCCAGGATGTGAGACTCTGTCTCAAAAAAAGAAAAAGACCCAGAGTAACTGCACTTAAGAGTCAGTTTTCAATGGGAAAAATATAAAGGACAGTTTGGAAAAAGATGGTGTCAAGATATATATGGGAATTTTCGCCATGGGATTTTTTTCTTTAAAAGTGCTTAAACTTACAAGTAAATTAACCTACCTTGCATTATATCAAGTAAGAAATTGCTTTCAAATGTTCAAAGCAAAACCCCATACAAAACCTCATACAATTATGTTTAATTACAATACAATTAACTACAAGAAAGAGAGAAGCACTACAGCCCATTTTACTTCTTCTTCAAGTTCGACTACAGTGTGACCTGCAACCCTCTGTGTATGTAACATATCACAAGAAACAAGTCAGCTTACCTCATGTTCCGAAAAAAGTGCTTTCAACTGCCCCTTGGACCAATAATCCAAAGCATATGCCAAAAGCCGCATGGCGATCGTATTAATTCTCAAGAAATTTCCAACAAATACCACCTGGTTAATGTTCTGAGCACACCAAAAAAAGGTAATTAGGTTTTCATCTTAATTTCTGTTTTCTCATAAAAGCTACCCCAAACAGAACACCAAAGAGTTTTTAACATCACTTTGCTAATCAAGTTTAATCCAGTTGGTCCGTGGCTACTTAAATTTGATCCCCAGACAACTCTGGACCATTGCAAAGATCCCAGAAAATGTAACAGGAGAAAAAAACAGATTAGGAAAAACATCTGTATTTTATATGATGAACAGTAACTATTACTGAATTAAAAGTTCTATACAGGTAAGTGAAAACAATAGTAAGCCCCAATCCAAAAGAAGGAAGTGACACAAACAGGCAACTTATACAAGAAATTTAACAGGCAGGAAAAAAATTCAACTTCATTAGTGATCAAAGAAAGCAAAATTTTAGACCTATTAACTAGCAAAAATACTAATTGAAATTCCACTCTCAATATTAGAAAAGTTGTGGTAAAACTGATCTGTTGCTAAAATAATCTAAATTGGTACAGCCCTTGTGCAAAGCATTATGGCAACACACATCAAGATTCATAAGCATGGTCATATTCTTTAGACCAAAAATCTCATTCCTGAGTAAGCCCTATATCAAGAATAAAATCCAAACAAAGAGTCTCACACTTAAATTCTTACTGCAGAATTATTGGGAAGCAACCAAATGCCCAGCTCTATGTGAATAATTTATAATATAAAAAAACTTCAAATATACAACCATGGAATGTATAATATTTAAATACAAAATAAAAATTAGTATGTACACCAACTAAAAAATCTTAAAATACATAAGCACAAGAAAAGGAACATGGCAATAAAGAAAAAAGTGTAATGATACTCAAAAGAAAAATTCTTAACTGGTGCTGATACAGTAGCTTTTTTTTTTTTTTTTTTTTTTTTGAGACAGAGCCTCAAGCTGTCCCCCTGGGTAGAGTGCCATGGCATCGCGCTCACAGCAACCTCCAACTCCTGGGCTCAAGCGAGTCTCCTGCCTCAGCCTCCCAAGTAGCTGGGACTACAGGCGCCCGCCACAACGCCTGGCCATTTTTTGGTTGCAGCCATTATTGTTGTTTGGCGAGTCCGGGTTGGGGATTCGAACCCGCCACCTTAGGTGTATGTGGCTGGCGCCTTAGCCGCTTGAGCCACAGGCGCCGAGCCGATACAGTAGCTTTTTAATTAAAAATGAGACAATCCTTTGTACCTTTGGAGGTTTCCTTTTGAGCTACATGCTTATATTATATATTTAAATAATAATTTTAAAAAGTATACATAGGGACAAGCCATAAAACTCCATGAACTGGATCCTAGATTCTCTTTCCCCAAGGGCAGCCTATTCTTGGTTCTTTCATAGCCCTGTACAATGCTGCTTGACCTGAATGCTACAAGGCAGCACTGTAAAGAAGCTGAAAGCACAAAGACGCAGCTCTGCAGAGGTGAAGGGTGGGCATTCCTCAGCCACTCAGTCTTCTCCCAGCTTCAATGACTTCCTCTGGATTCCTTCTCAGGGTCTCTAGAGCTCAACGATGAAGTGTGGAGTCTAGACTCAGCATCATCATCCATCATTAATGCCAAAAGTCCTCATTAACTAGAACACTGACTACGTTTTTCCTCCATTCCCCTACTTTCTCCACAAAAGGTATCATTTTACCCTCTAGAGACAAGAGCAGTGTTTATCTTCAGTAAGCGAGAAGAAAAAAAAGAAACCAATGCAGATTAATCTGCGTTTGAAGAATTTTAACTTTGCATGAAAACAAATTCCACCCCACCTTACTACATTTAGGCACCGTTCTGAGAAGACAGACATCATATTATGTCAAGGTGGGGCCCATTTATAAGTTCAGTATTTTCCACACAGCAAATAAAGAAATCCATGTCCCCTTACTTCGTTAAGGGCACACATTCTTGCTATTGAGCCAATGTTGTTGGTGATGGTGATCAAAGTCGCTCTGGCGAGGTCCTCTTTAGTGACAGCCTCTCGCTTCTCCTTGCTCATCATGTTTCCAAAGCTGTGACAGGGGAAAAAAAAATACTATTGCTAAACCAAAGGCAAAACAGCCCAAAAGAACTTGAATGTTACTTTACTAAGATAAAATTGGCTTTTAGGACAACATTGTTTGAATCTTCAAACTTAATCTTATTATACAATAATGGAACATCTGCTCAAAGAGCTTCAAATAGAGCTCTCAAGCATTCTGAATGAGCAGACAGCTTTTCCTGTGGTTTGTGAAGAAATCCAGCTTTGATACCAGATATATGCACATTCAGTTAGTATCTTATCAACTCCACTGGAAGGCACCATGAAGGCACCACTGCTCCTTCTGCAACCAGAGAGAGTTCCAGGAAGACATGTCTACTATGAACAATTCATCCCAACTGCACAGCTGTTCCACTCGGATGGTCACATTCCTGGCTAGTAAACTGCTTTAATAGAGCAAAGCACAGACTCTGAACTACTTTTAAGTGTTTCAAATTTCCCTAGACGATATAGTATCAAAGCACATGACCAGCAGAACTGCTGTATTAATAACTATGACCAGAAAGCCAATGAATCAGAAAAGGAAGTTTAGGTTGCTTATTTAGTGGATGGGAAAGAACCAAACCAAAATTAAAACCGGAAAAAGGGATAACCAACAAGAGTAAATGCTATAAATGCAAAAAATGAAATCGATAGCATTTACAAAGTTCCTAAAATTAGTAAAGAAGCAAGTATATATAAGTGCCTTTATTAAAAACCATATTTCCCCAACATATAAAAAAGAATACCTCTAAACAATCTCAGAATAAAATTAAAGAAACAATTCCATTTATAATAGTAAAGAGAATAAAATGCTTAGGAACACATCTAACAAAGTGTTGACACTTATACACTGAAATATACAAAACACTATTGAAAGAAAGCAAAAATCTAAATAAATGGACAGACATTCTTGGATAAGAAAACTTCATGTTAAGATGGCTATACTCCCCCAAATTACTCGACAGATTGAATGCAATCCCTATCAAAATCCCAGCTGTCTTTTTTGTAAACGTTGCCAAGCTGGTCCTAAAATTTATATGGAAACTCAATGAACCCAGAATAGCCAAAACAATCTTGAAAAAGAAGGACAAGTTGGAGGACTCACACTTCCCAGTTTCAAAACATTTAATACAAAGCTGCAGTTATCAAGGCAATATGGTGGTGTCATAAGGACAGAAATATAGATCAAGGGAACAGACTTGAAGAGCCCTGAAATAAACCCAAACAGCTATTGTCAAGTGATTTTCTGACAAAGAGGCCTTGAGAATTAAACAGGAAAAGGACAGTCACTAAAGAATGATTTTGAACCTCTACCTCAGACCACACGCAAAAATTAACTCAAAATGGATCACAGACATAAATGAAAGAGCTAAAACCCTAAAACTTTTAGAAAATAAAAAGTAATTCTTCATCTTAGTTAGATGGTGATTTCTTACATATGACACCAAAAGCACAATAAGAGAGAAGATAGAGAATTCTCATTTTCTGGAGGTTCCCATGTACACAAGCTAAATAAAAGTAAGAACTTTTATTTTAAAAAAAATAAAGAGAAGGCCCAGTGCCCGTAGCACAGTGGTTATGGCACCAGCCACATACACCCAGGCTGGCGGGGTCAAACCTGGCCCAGGCCAACTAAAACAACAATGACAACTGCAACAACAACAAAAAAAAAATAGCCAGGCACTGTTGGCAGGCACCTGTAGTCCCAGCTACTTGGGAGGTGGAGGCAAGAGCATCACTTAAGCCCAAGAGTTTAAGCTGTAAGCTGAGACACCACAGCACTCTACCAAGGGCTACATAGTGAGACTATCTCTAAAAAAAAACAAAAACACCAACAGAATGGGAGTAAATGTTTGCAAATTACATATCTAAATAAGGGATTTGTATCAAGAATATATAAAGTGGAATAATAAAAACACAATGCAACAAAAAAACAGCAAAAGTAGGGCACCGGCCCCATATACCGAGGGTGGCAGGTTTGAACCCAGCCCCGGCCAGACGGCAATAAAAAAATAGCTGGGCGTTGTGGCAGGTGCCTGTAGTGCCAGCTACTCAGGAAGCCGAGGCAAGATAATCACTAAGCCCAAGAGCTAGAGGTTGCTGTGAGTTGTTGTCACAGTACTCTAGTAAGGGCGAGAAAGTGAGACTGGTCTTTAATTAAAAAAGCAAAATACTTAAGTAGACATTTCTCCCAAAGAAGACAAATGGCCAATACCCACATGAAAGGATGTTCACCACTTCCCATCAGAAAAATGCAAATCAAAACCACAATTAACTACTACTCCACGCCTATGAAGACAGCTAAAACCAAAAAGATAGACAATAACAGTATCGATAAGAAATTTAAAATCTCAAACTGCTAGGATTATAAAATGGCAAAGCCACTTTGGAAAATAGTCCACTAGTTCCTCAAAAATAAACATAAAGTTACCATATGACTTGGCAATTATATTCCTAGATATATACCAAGAGAATTAAACACATGTGCACACAAAGATACACACACACAAGTATTCAAAATAACCAAAAAGAAGAAACAACACAAATGTCCACCAACTGATAAATGGATAAATAAAATGTGGTATATCCATATAATGATATCTGACTTGGCAATAAAAAATGAAGTACTGACTCATGCTATAACATGGATAAACCTTGAAAACCTTATGCTAGGTAAAAATAGTAATCACAAAAGATCATATAGTGTATGATACCACTTACATGAAATGTTCAGAACATGCAAACCTATAGAGCCAGGAAAAAGATCAAAGTTTGGGGCAGGCTAAATTTGGAGGAGTGAGGAGCAGCAACCAATGGACGCAAGGTTTTTTTGGATGATGAAGATGTTCTGAAATATTATGGCAATGGTTGCATAATTCTGTTAATACAGGATGGTCACAAAGTTCATGTGCAATTTAAATTGTACATGAACTCTAAATTGGACACTTTAAATTGGCGGCTTTATGGTTATATAAATTATATCTCAATAAAGCTGTTTTTTAAAAAGATATGCCTAATATGTAGTATTTTATCTCTGTATTTCTTAGAATACACACACACACCCTTACCTCGAAGCCACAGCCCAGCCTGGCAGTCCAAACCTCTCATAGTCCCCTCCGTAAATGTCTCGCACTAGTTTATCCACTTTGGTGCTATCTCCACGAGATGCCATTTCAAGAGCTTCTTCAAAAGTGGTACAGCCAGTAAGAAGACAGCAGAGACCAAAAAAAGTTCCTCCTCCAAGACTGTAATTAAAACAATGCAGTATTATAACATTTGTAAAAATAGGGTTAAGAAGGTAACATTTATGAACCCCAAAACCATATCACTCTTCCCCAACCCAATCATGCAAATGCTCCCCTGGAACAAAACAAGTCTGTGGAAAGATTAAAAACAAGGTCCCTGGTGTATACCTTTAAGATACATACTCACACGTGCCAATAAGCAAATTGGCAAGACGCAAGGGTTCATGTCCTTGTCCTTGCCTGTGCCTGGGTGAGAGTGAGTATAGTAGGAGTATCTGCTTGAGTATGAAGAGTCTCAGATGCACAACAGCCCAACCTACCTGAGGTCAAGTTGGTACCTCCTCTCTTTCCCTCTCCGAATAAGTGCACTCTCTGAGTCAGTCTCATCCAAGCACCTTGACACCTTGGGACATCAGTCACTCACCCCACCAGACTTTTCAATAATGTTTTCACCCCCCAAATTACTCCTCTCATTCTTTTAATTTATACCTGTCTTTTATTTTTTTATTTTTTTTTCGCAGTTCTTAGTGGGACTGGGTTTGAATCCGCCACTTCTGGCATATGGGGCTGGCGCCTTACTCCTTTGAGCCACAGGCGCCACCCTTACTTATTTATTTTTGAGATAGAGTCTCACTATGTCGCCCTCGGTAGAGTGCCATGGCGTCACAGCTCACAGCAACCTTCAACTCTTGGGCTTAAGCAATTCTCTTGCCTCAGCCTCCCAAGTAGCTGGGACTATAGGCTCCGGCCACAACATCCAGCTATTTTGTTGTGGTAGTTGTCATCGTTGTTTTAGCTGGCTCAGGCCGAGTTTGAACCCACCAGCCTGGGTTTATGTGGCCAGCGCCCTACCCAACGAGCTACGGGTGCCACTTACACCTGTATTTTAAAAAAGCAATTTGTTCATCCTAATCCCCAGATCCTTGTTTTTTTCCTCAAGGGACTTCTGATCCTTAAACCAAAAGGGTCTAAACTAACCTTCCCTCTAATCTAATCCTCTCTTTCCAGACTACCTTTCTATTGATCAGGACCTCAACAGTCCCCTGGCCGTAGCTATGTATGTACATATGTGTGTATGTATGTGAGATAATCTAAAATCTACACAGGTTTCAAAGCTGGGACCTTCCCTTACCTTCTCCTTATAGATGCTACCTAGTAACTTCAGCTACTTGGTACATGCACACCATAAACTAGCTAAGGGCAAGGGCTACAATGAGTATACTGATGCAATAATTTATGAAACAAAAAAAATTATATGGTAATACATATAATCTTCAGAAATAGAGATTAAAGAAAAATAGGTTATTAAAATCAGAATTTAAGGAGAATCATTTGCATAAGAAAAACTTAAATCTTTCACATAATTTCAACAGATTCTTGAAAGCTTAATTATATGTGATACTATGTGATACATAAAAACTCATTTAACCTATTAAGATGTTAAGAATAAATAGGACCGGCTCGGCGCCTATAGCTCAACCGGCTAAGGCGCTAGCCACGTACACCTAAGGTGGCGGGTTCGAATCCCCAGCCCGGACCCGCCAAACAACAATGA